AGGGAAAGAAATGTAGAGTTTAGCTGCAGCCCAGAAGTTCATCGAGAAATCTGAAACTAAGGAGAAAGACTGCTGACGTGTGAAGTCGGCGTGCCCGGGGGTCAGACCGGGATGCAGTGCACCTCACACCTGCGCAGGCACAGGGAGCAGCGGCCTAGGCGGGGCAGGCGAGGGCACGACTGCGACGGGCCTCTGGGTGGCAGGAGATCTGCCTACAGGGTGTGAGGCCCGGGTCCTGCCCCAGCTGGAGGACAGTGAATTCAGAGTAGGGGGAGACCAGCCGCAGGGCCTCAACAGGCCCTGTGCAGAACTGACAGCTTTCTGCAGCCCAACCCTGTGCCACAGGTCACCAGGCTAGAGCAGGATGCATATTTTGAAGTCTTATAAACAGGACTGGGGAAGACAGTGGGCATGTGGATTTCAAAATGGGGTCTGCTTTGCTTTTCTTTCTTTATTTTTTACCGCAACGAGAAGTAAACAGGTTTGACTTACAGCTATACACAAGGTTAGAGAAAGAATCTGAGGGTTTGGGAGAGGAAGCCTGGAAGCAGCCCAGCTGACCTGTTTTCTAGGGCACTATTCAAGGAGGGTTTGAGGGGAGACACACTAGGAACCCTGACAGAAGAAAATCAAAGTTCAACAGGGGAAGCCACAGTACAACAGGATCCAGTAGCTGCCCAACCAGTCCCAACCAACACATCAGTGGCCATAAAATCAGGGAGAACCCACTGAATGGTAAGAATGCTGTTGACTCAATTCCAAATTTCTATACATCACATATGGGAAATATTTAATTTTTTTCAGTGATGTTAAGACATTAAAAAAATATTAACTATAACATACTTACCTAAGGCAAAAAAGATATACCTGAATAGCTTTTGCTTTCTTGGTCCTGTTTGGGTATTGCCTTTAGACTTTTGAAGATATTTACTTTGTCAAGTGCACTGAACAGGCATCTGTTGCTGCCGTGCTAGATGAACGGGACATGGCCCTGACCTTGAGATGCTCCCGAAGGAGAAGAGGGAGCCGGGTGTGAAGACGCATAGGTAGGCCCAGCATGGCAGGTACAAGACAGGGCGTGTGTTAGGGCCAAGTCAGAAACTGAGTCAGAGGAACAATTCACTCTGCCTTCAGGAAGAGCTACTGACTAGCACCATTTGAGCAGCGCCCTAACGAGGTACAGAAGGGCAGGAAGGGGTGTTCCGGGGGGAGGGAAGAGCATCAACAATAGGCTGGAAGTGAGGCAGCGCTCAGCTGTCTGGGAGTGGAAGGGGCGGGGCAAGCGGGAGCTGGGAGTGCAGGGCCTCATCCTGGACTGTCTGTCCTAAAGCCCTGGGAGCCATCAGAGGGGTCTAAGAAAGGATGCGACTCAACAGGTTCGGGATGGGAAAAGTGCCCTAGAAAAATACAACCTCAGAAGATAAAAATGGAGACAGCAGGGCTTCCCTGGTGGCGCAGTGGTTGAGAGTCCGCCTGCCGACGCAGGGGACACGGGTTCGTGCCCCGGTCCGGGAAGATCCCACATGCCGCGGAGCGGCTGGGCCCGTGAGCCATGGCCGCTGAGCCTGCGCGTCCGGAGCCTGTGCTCCGCAACGGGAGAGGCCACAACAGTGAGAGGCCCGCGTACCGCAAAATTTTTTCTAGAAGATCACACAAAAGTTGGGAAGGGAAGGAAGGAAGTCAAAAAAAAAAAAAAATGGAGACAGCAAATCTATATATATATATAAACCTATTTAGAATTTTTAAAGTAGCCTTTAAAATACAAGTTTAGAATAATTTACTAGTTTTCACTACACCTTATTAGTTTCTTAGAAACTCTCCATTAAAATGTCTTAGTTAAAATACATATATATTTGACAATTTAATAAAGTTTATTCCTATTATCTTTTCTTTTTTTTAATTAGCAAAATACCAGAAACACAACACCACTTGCCATTCCTCACTGGTGACAAGACTATTCTTATTCAGCTCTTGGTGCAGTTCTTCATTTTCTTTCACCACTTCTTGGACTCTCATCTTAAACGTTCTCATTTCCTCCTGAAACAAAATTTATGCAAACTGTAACACACACATACATTCATCTCTATATTCCTTAGTTCTAATGCTGTCGCTGTGGCTAAAATAAAATGTTAATAGCTTTTAAGCAAAGTCTCATAGTACCGGCAGCCTTAAACTTGGTACCAGCACCAAGTGCCTGTCCTCGAGGGGCTCACGGTCTAGCGAAAAAACACAAGAGACAGATCCCACGCAGAGAACAAGGGACAAAAGCACCTCAAGTTAGTTCGATTCCTAACTTGATAACATTTTTCTATAACTGCCAAATATTTGAAAAGATAAAAAGGGGAATAAAAAAGGCAGAGATGGGCTTCCCTGGTGGCGCAGTGGTTGGGAGTCCGCCTGCTGCCTCCCACTGTTGTGGCCTCTCCGCAAAGGGAGAGGCCACAACAGTGGGAGGCCCACGTAGTGCAAAAAAAAAAAAAAAAAAAAGGCAAAGATGCCTATAAATGCCATAGTTTTTTCTTTGTTTAAAGACTTTGGAGGATAAATTGGAGCCTTTTAGATAAAAATAGGAATTTTTCATCCTAATTGAAGCCCATTTTGGTAGGGAAGGGCTTAGTGCAGGGGTTGGAGTCTCATAATTTTGCCCCATTACAATCACGAGAAAGCCTCCCTTACTTAAAGCCATCAGTCAGTCCAGCTTTATCACTCATTGGCCCCCACACGAGGACTGTTGCTTGGTCTGTTTTCGACTGCTAACAGTCTGTGTTTGTGGCACTCACGCTGGGTGGTCTCCGTCATGACTTTTCTCAGCTAGCCCTTGGCTAGCTTCAGTATTGTGTGTTGTCTTCTGGTGAGAATCTTAGGTGCTAATATTTATTCTGGGATGCTTCTAAATATTCTTCTCCCAGCTAGCAGACATTTATACTTATAAAAAGCAACAATGCCAAGCAACTTCTCTTTCACCTTTCTGCCCAAACGCACTCCCCAATTGCTAGCAGTGCACTGGCCCTTTTAGAGAACATGGTTGGGGCAAACTACAGCCCACAGGCCAGCTGCCTCTTTGGTCGAGACAGTATTATGAGATCGTAGCCATGCCCATTTGTCACACCTGCTCTGCAGCCGCTTTCATGCTACAGTAGCAGAGCTGAGTAGCTGCAAATAGAGACTCCATGGCCCCCAAAGCCTAAAATTGATAGTAAGTCAATGTTTACAGAAAATGTTTCCCGAACCCTATTTTAGAAGGAGCACTAAATAAGTATTTTTATTATTTGGATTGATAGTTAACCGATTATACAAGATTAATTCACCCTCTTAAAAATTAAGTGTCCAGGCGGCCGTCGCCGAGGCCCGGTGGGAGGGAGCCACGTTCCCGCCCCGCGCACAGCCAGTCTCACCCTCGGTCCCACTGCGTGAGGAGCCAGCCGGGCGTGGCTCTGCACAGAGACCCGAGCCGCGGTCGCCCCTCTGCAGGTGCCTGTGAGGAGGCGCCGGGGCCGCAGCCGAGTCCGGAGCCCGCCGGCCGGGCACTCGCTCTCCGCGCCCCGAGGGGCGGCCCGGCTGGAGGAGGCCGTTGCGGGCCAGGCCTCAGAATGAACCGCAAACACCGGCACGCAGTGGGCAGCGGCTGCCTGGCCCCCACCGTGGCGGTGAAGAGCAAGTTTGGAGCTGAATTTCGTCGGTTTTCACTGGAAAGATCAAAACCTGGCAAGTTTAAGGAGTTTTACGGACTACTGCAACAAGTTCATAAGATACCCAATGTTGACATTTTAGTAAGCTATGAAGACATCCACGGAGATGTACTACCTATAAATAACGATGCTAATTATCACAAAGCTGTTTCAACGGCCAACCCACTGCTTAGGATTTTTATACAAAAAAAGGAAGAAGCAGACTACAGTGCCTTTGGTACAGGCACGCTAATAAAGAAGAATGCTTTAACCAAATTGTTTCGTCCTGACAAACATAGAAAAAAGCCACACATAGTCATTAGTATGCCCCAGGACTTCAGACATGTGTTTTCTATTACAGACGCAGATCTCCCAGAAACACATCGTAGGGTCTGTCTTTACAAATATGGCACTGAGAAACACCTAGGATTCTACATCCGGGACGGCTCCAGTGTCAGGGTGACGACACCCCACGGCTTAGAGAAGGTCCCAGGGATCTTTATATCCAGACTTGTGCCAGGAGGTCTGGCTCAAAGCACAGGGCTATTAGCAGTTAATGATGAAGTTTTAGAAGTTAATGGCACAGAACTTTCCGGGAAGAGTCTAGGTCAAGTAGCTGACATGATATTGCAAACAGCTGCAACCTCATCATCACAGTGAGACCAGCAAACCAGAGGAATAACATCATTAGGAAGAGTCGGACTTCCGGCAGCTCTGGCCAGTCTACTGACAACAGCCTTCCTGGCTATCCACGGCATCGAACCGAGCTTTGAGCCAGAGGATGAAGACAGCGATGAAGATGACATTATTATTGAAGACAATGGTGTGCCACAGCAGAACCCTAAGGCTGTTCGTAACACCGAGAGCCTGGAATCATTAACACAAATAGAACTCAGTTTTGAATCTGGACAGAACAGTTTTATTCCTTCTAATGAAGTGAGCTTAGCACCCTTAGCAAGTGGCACAAATACAGAATATGAAACGCGTGCTCCAGATCAAAAACTCTTAGAAGAAGATGGAACAATCATAACACTACGAAACCATTGCATCTGAATGTTTTCTGAGTGAGGATGCCATGGAGACTTGTAAATTTGGCTAGTTTAAAGCATATGTACCTCTGAACCAGTGACCTGGGATAGGCATGAAAAAAAATATATTGCAAGCTTAAAATGTTATTAAAATAGTAGTTTGATAATTAATATAAACTTCAGTGGGTGAGAGGTGAATTTAAGTCTAAAACAAAGGGGTCTTTGCTAATGAAATGATGTGCTTTTGCTATTTTGTCTATAGAGAACTGGATGTTAGAGCACATTCCCAGAACTACACATAAGGACTAGATCATTTCCGTTTGAAGTGGTTGCATATTTAACCTGCTGTGCAGAGCCTGGTTAACTTTTCCTTTAACTATATATCTTTTAATTCTAACGTGAAGAAGTCTGAGTCTATCTTTCGGTACTTTGGGACCTTGGCTCCTATATTCTCCATGTTGTATTTTGATTTTTTAATATTGTTCCTCTGTTGCTAATTATAGCGAGTAATTTTTTCAAATGCCTTTTTTTTTTTTCCTAATTTCTAAGAAATCAAATCAATTGACTGTTTTTTACGGGCTGCTTCCTAAGTTATAAAGCACTGAAGCTATGTTCCTGAATTAAGAAACTCTTAACAGTTGTTCAGGTCCGTGTTTGCCCATCTGGTAGCTTTCATATTTACAGACTCATCCCATTTGGGCATCACTTATGTTGTGAAAGGCAGTTCCATCGACTCTGGTGATATGGGAGACTCTCTCCTGTAACCTCTTCTTTTTTTTGTTTTTGTTTTTTTGCGGTACGGGGGCCTCTCACTGTTGCGGCCTCTCCTGTTGCGGAGCACGGGCTCCAGACGCGCAGGCTCGGCGGCCATGGCTCACGGGCCCAGCCGCTCCGTGGCATGTGGGATCTTCCCGGTCGGGGGCGCGGGCCCGTGTCCCCTGCATCGGCAGGTGGACTCTCGGCCACTGCGCCACCGGGGAAGCCCCCGTAACCTCTTCTTATCCTCATTCCAAATCTCATTAGAAATCATTCCTTTTGTTGTTTGTGTGTATATTTTGTTTGTCTGCCTTTTTACTCTTTTAATGTATTTCAGTAGTGTGAATTATTTTCGGTAAAAAAACAAAAATGCACCCAAACTAAGAGATTTTTACACACAGGACAACCTTGTGCACTTTTTATATGAAAATTTTGGGTTTTCCTTAAAGGGATTTCTAGGAACACTGCCTACACTTTATGAAAAGTATGTCGTATTCACCTTTGACAGGTAGAATGTATCTCGATTAATTTTATGAGGCTATTTATTACTTTCCGATGCATCTACTTAGCAAGGTAGGAGTAAGGCTGTTAACTTTCGTTCCTTGCCTGGTTTCATTGTATGGAGGTGCACAGGCACTACAGTAGCTTGTATATAGAGACTAAGAATAGTATGAACTACATGAGTTCCCTGTGACTTACGGATATTTCTCTCAGAGTTATTGATTAATTTTATGCTAGGGCTAGAATGGATACCTTATAACAACTGTGTGCTATTAAAACAAACAATGAAGAATCAAATGACTCCGTTTTGAAGGATATTTTCTCTATATGGTAAAAGTATATGAAGTAAAGTTGATTAAATGAAGCTCTCTTGACTCAGGATACTCAGTGTATTTTGCTCACATTTTACCACTACACATGTTATCACTAAACTGTTAACTGCACAACATTATGTAATACAGTGTACTTTTTGTTGAATTCATTGAAGTTCTTCCAGTTATATAACCACTATTTTTAATTCCAGGTTTAACATTCTGTTGAGTTCTATAAATTTGACTCTTGAATGGCAAAATGTTAATAAGTAGAAGGTTACATTTCATTTATAAGCGGTGCAGGGCTTCAACATTTTAAGTAAAAATACTTTCACATACTACCTCTCTCTCTTTCTCTCTCTCTTTTTTTAACAAAGTTTTAACATCAGAACTTTTCTCTTAGGGGAAGAAATACTTCAGGGCTTGACTTTTTGTACAACTTTTAACTGTAAAATACAGATTTGTCTTGTATGTACTCATGAAAATGGAAATCAAACCTGCTAGTGCTTTTTTTTGTGTGTGTGTGGTGCACGGGCCTCTCACCGTTGTGACCTCTCCCGTTGCGGAGCGCGGGCTCCGGACGCACAGGCTCAGCGGCCGTGGCTCGCGGGCCCAGCCGCTCTGCGGCATGTGGGATCTTCCCGGACCGGGGCACGAACCCGTGCCCCCGGCATCGGCAGGCGGACTCTCAACCACTGTGCCACCAGGGAAGCCCTGCTAGTGATTTTTAATTATCCCACTAATGGTATATGTCAACGGTCTTTTCAACTGGATCTCTCGTTTAAATTATTGGTGAAAGAATTGATTACTAGACGTATTGTAAAACCAATAGATCTTGGTTATACAATAAAACGTTGATTCATTGGTAGTCTGAATTATTTCAAGTGTACCTTATTAACAAAAATATCAGTGGACTCAGCATAAAATTTTATAGTACTAAATGTCAAGCTAACTGTGAATTTTGTTCTGTATCTTAAGTAAATTTATGATAATGTCCTCATGAGCTATCAACAAAATATATGTACTTTTGTGAACTATGGATTTTCTAATTAAATTTTACATGCAACATGATTTTTACGTGAATGCTACTTTGTTTAAACTATCAAATGTCAGTATTTTACTATTTTATTATAAAATGTACATTATCACTAAATGAGCTTTGATTTTAAAAATTAAATTAGCTTTAGTTGTATATTATTTTTTACAAATAAAGATAGACTTGTATAAAGGCTAAAAAAAAAAATTAAGTGTCCAACAGAAAGCCTAGGAGAAAAGGTTCACAACTGCATTACATGGGCCATGTACGTGAGACAGCAGAACAAGAACAGGCTGGGTGACTCTTAACAGACCCTTCCAATCAGGGATCCTAGAGATACCAACTCTTTTCTCTCTGGATCCCTCCAATTCCAGGGATCTCTTTGGTCACTTAAATAAGGAACATAGAGGTTCGCAGCACGGAAAGGCATGGGACGTATCTATAACACCTGCACAGCCTTGGTTTCCTGCATCATTAGAATGAACTCTGCTCCAGGAGCCATTCCCATGAAAAAGAGTGAACACAGCAGAAACAAACAAACACCTCACTTCCCCACCACTACCAACAGCTCAGTAATTAGACTTCCTGGAGGTCAGCTCTTCATAGAATTAAGAAGCATCTAAGCCTGCCTAAAACATCCCCGGTCTTCTACCTTCCTTGTCTGCCCAAATGTCCCTTTTACCAGTGCTGTTTGCAGCTGCACAGGACCAGGAAAGTAGCACCTCCCACTGCTGCCTTCTCCGCACCCCAAGATCCCAGCCCACGTGGGGCTGCCTGTCTGGGACGCCACGGCTTCCAGTGCTGCACCCCGTCCCTCCAATACTTCTCCCATCAATCCCAACCCACCGCCCTGCTCCGCCCGCCCCTCTCTCCTGCCTTCCCTCTTCCTTCCCCCCGTCCCCACACTGCTACATTTCCTCCTCCCTCCTTTCCTCCTCTTAACAAACGCTTGAGTACCTGCTAGATGTTGGCTATACCTATCTTCAAAATGTTGCTTCCAAGTTTGAACCGGTCTTCTTTTTTACAAACCTTGTTCTTCTGAGACTTTTGCTCACCTACCTGAAGGCTGGCATTGAGCTCGTCCTTCTCTTTCATTCTGTCTTCATAGGCCAGCAACAAGGGGGACAGGTACTTTGTATCCACCTGAACATAATGGAATAAAGAAGGTTAATATCTTTCTTACATCTAAACACAATCAGCACATCTTTAAAAAGGAAAGAAAATATACTTCATTTGGAATGGTTTGTAACAGCTATTCAATTATAGCCCAGAAAATATGGGCCTGAAATTAAATAACTTTCACTTACCAGCCAGGGCGGTATAGGGCCCTTTGATGGGAGGCCTTCAATATTTACACTCTAAAAAAAAAAACACACGGTGAAGACAAATTAAATTACACTTCCTCTGAAATTTCAAGTCTTAGCTATTCTTAACCTAGACTGGGCATCAGCTATCTAGGAATCTTGTGTGCGTGTGTGTGTAAATTGATATATTTGTGTATATATTTATATATATATATAATTATCTGAAGTGTTTGAAAGTAATTTATACACATAATGCTCCTTTTCCTCTAAATACTTCAATGTATATTTCCTAAAAGCAAAAGCATTCATCTATTTGACCACAGTACCATCATAAAAATCAGGAAATCAAGACTGATGCAATACTGTATTCTAACCTATAGACTATACTGAAATTTTGCCTATTTTCCCACTGATGTCCTTTTCTGGTCAAGAATCCAATCCAGGACTACATGTTGCATTTAGTTGTCAAAACTTTTCAGCATTTTAAAATGTGGAACATACCTAATAATTTTTTATTGGATGCCAATAAAACTTTTTCAGCGTTATGTTGTTGTCTAGATTTTCTTGTCTTCTTTTAAAGTTTTGTTTTCTTTTTCTTTTGTAGGCTCTTAAGTTACGCACAAAAGACGATGCTTTTGAGGCTCATCTTTTTCAGAACCCAAAGGTCTCCGAGTGCTAATTATTTTTAGCTCACAGCTCCCTGAACTTGTTTTCTGCCTGGCCTCACAGAGTTTCATCCTATACACGTGCAGATTAGTGTTCAACAAAGGACTGCGAGGAACCCCATGTGGACTTATGTAGCTCTTGCCATGGCTCCCTCCTCTCTGGTGTTCCTGCCCCACAAATCCTAGTCTCCTCTGCTTCCCCAAATCTAATCTGTCTCTTCAGTTCAGACTGCCATACTCTGCGTTGCTCCACCCGGCGCTGTTACCCGAGAGTGCCTCCAAGCAGAAAGCAATGTGATCATAAGGCTCATCTATTTATCCTCCTTCTCCCCATGAGGACAGTGCTGCCTGCTGTCTGATGTCTGTAGAGAGTTGTATTATTTATTCTGCCTGGTTTTCTAGTTGTTTACAGTAAGAGGCCAAAGCTGGTAGCAGTAATTCCATCAGGGCCAGAAGCAATGGCCCTGATGGCATAATTCCTTATCCAACAAAAATTTTCTAACGCGTTTACCATCTCATGATTCATTCAGCAAACACTGAAAGCTCACTAAGCCATTATGGATGTTACAGCACATTTCACTGTTTACGAGGACTGTATCGTTCCACACAGAGATAGATGGGTCTTCTCACATAGCACAGGGCAGAATGTGCCTTGAGAGTGGAACAAACAGAAGCCTGCAATGGTTGGAGAGAGATCACCTCTGGCTGGAGGCATCAGGGGAGACTGTCGCGGAGAACGGTGGCCGCAAAGGTAGAATGGTGTGCACATTTTGGGGGTGGCGGGTGAGGGCAGCAGCCAGTCGCTGGGCCTGCCTGCCCACAACCTTCTGAAAGAGAACTGGCTTGTTCACAGCCCTGCAGAAGGCCCTGGCCTAGGAAGCCTGTTTTGGATCACAGGACCCTAGGAACTTTAATATTTTTGTTAAAAAAAAAAAAAAAAGTTAACATTATATGAAGTGAAAGAAGTCAGCCACAAAAGACCACCTGTTGTATGATTCCAGTTACATAAAACATTCAGAATAGGCAAATCCACAGAAAGTAGTGGTTGCCAGGGCCAATGTGGGTGGTGGGAAAAAAAGGGGGCGTGACCGCTAACAGTTGTGAGATTTCTTGTTGTGAGTTTTCTTGTTGTGATGAAAATGTTCTAAAATTGATTGTGGTGGCGGTTGCAGAGTTCTGTGAATACACTAAAAATCACTGAATTGTATACTTTAAATGGGTGAATTAGACGGTATGTGAATTACATCTCAAAGCTGATATTTAAAAAAATTAAACCTAAGTCCTACTTCAAAAAGAAAGAAAGCAGCCCATAAAGTTGCCCTGAACTCCCAGGAGCCACGTGACAACACCCTGCACACCTGGCTTCCCCCGCCACCCCGATCCCAGTAGGAGCCAGTGAGCTGGGCGTCCTGACACCCCCACCGCGCCTCCAGCCCCACACAACCCTCACACACATGAGCCTCCAGGGCACAGACCTGAGCTGCTGGGTCCTCTTGTTGTTCCTCACAATTTTTTTATTTTTATTTATTTTTTTTGCGGTATGGGGGCCTCTCACTGTTGTGGCCTCTCCCGTTGCGGAGCACAGGCTCCGGATACAGGCTCAGAGGCCATGGCGCACGGGCCCAGCCGCTCCACGGCATGTGGGATCTTCCCAGACCAGGGCACGAACCCGCGTCCCCTGCATCGGCAGGCGGACTCTCAACCACTGCGCCACCAGGGAAGCCCCTGCTCCTCACAAGTTTTGAGGTTTGCTCAGAACCTCAACAACAGCATAGTGGTTTGCTCAGTGAGAGTCTGTCGAATTGAATTCTGCAATCCTGCTTCTAAAGTAAAACCTAGTCTGTCTTCTCTCTTTATATACACATAGATTGTGAAAGGATCTCCACCTCCAAGTTAATTACACACCCATCACCCCACATATTTACCATTTTGTGGGGAGAGAACACAAGTTCTTCTCTCTCAGCAAGTTTCAACTATACAGTACAGTACTATCAACTATAGTCACCATGTTATATATTGGATCCTCCGATCTCATTCATCTTATACCTGAAAGTTTGTACCCTTTTACTTGCCTCTCCCTATTTCTCCCACCACCCCGCCCCAGCCCATGGCAGTCACCATTCAACTCTGTGTTTCTATGAGTTTGACTTCTTTTTTTAAGATTCCACATATAAGTGACATCAAGCAGTATTGTCCTTTATCTGGCTTATTTCACTTAGAATAATACCCTACACGCTCACCCATGTTGCAAGTGACAGAACTGCCTTGTTCTTTAAGGCTGAATAATATTCCACTGTATGCCATATGGTTTTTATATATATGTATATATATAACATTGACATATACCACATTTTCTTTATCCATTCATCCTTGGCTATCATAAATAATGCTGCAATGAACATGAGAGTATAGCTATCTCTTCAAGATAGTGATTTCATTTCCTTTAGATATACACCCAGAAGTGGGATTGCTGAATGGTATGGTAGTTCCGTTTTTAATTACTTGAGGAACCTCCATACTGTTTTTTATAGTGGCTGCACCAACTTACATTCTCACCAATAGTGTACAAGGGTTCCCTTTTCTCCACACCCTCACCAGAACTTCTATCTTTTTCAAAAAAGACACGCTAACAGGTATGAGGTGATATCTCATTGTGGTTATAAGTTGCATTTTCCTGATCATTAGTGACGTTGAGCACCTTTTCACATACCTGTTGGCCATCTGTGTGTCTTCTTTGGAAAAATGTCTGTTCAGATCCTTTGCCCATTTTCAAATTGGGTTATTTGTTTTTGTGCGATTGAGTTGTATGAGCTCCTTGTATAGTTTGGATATTAACCCTTTATTGGACATGTGGTTTGCCAATATTTTCTCCCATTCCATAGGTTGCCTTTTCATTTTGTTGATAGTTCCCTTTGCAAAAGCTCTTTTAGTTTGATGTAGTCCATTTGTTTATCTTTGCTTTTGTTGTCTTTGCTTCTGGTATCAAATCCAAAAAATCAGGGCTTCCCTGGTGGCGCAGTGGTTAAGAATCCGCCTGCCAATGCAGGGGACATGGGTTCGAGCCCTGGTCTGGGAAGATCCTAGATGCCGCGGAGCAACTAAGCCCGTGCACCACGACTATTGAGCCTGCGCTCTAGAGCCCGCGAGCCACAACTACTGAAGCCTTTGTGCCACAACTACTGAAGCCCGTGTGCCTAGAGCCCATGCTCCGCAACAAGAGAAGCCACCGCAATGAGAAGCCCGTGTACTGCAGCAAAGAGTAGCCCCCGCTCACCACAACTAGAGAAAGCCCGCATGCAGCAACGAAGACCCAAAGCAGACAAAAATAAATAGATAGATAAATAAATTTTTTAAAAAATCCAAAAACTCAGTGCCAAGACCAAGGAGCTTTATAATTCAGGTCTTACATTCAAGTCCTTAATTCATTTTGAGTTGATTTTTGTGTATGGTGTACAACAGGGGTCCAGTTTCATTCTTTGGCAAGTGGATATTCAGTTTTCCCAGCATCATTTACTAAAGAGACTATCCTTGGGCTTCCCTGGTGGCGCAGTGGTTAAGAGTCCGCCTGCAAATGCAGGGGACACGGGTTCATGCCCCGGTCCGGGAAGATCCCACATGCCACGGAGCGGCTGGGCCCGTGAGCCATGGCCACTGAGCCTGCGCGTCCGGAGCCTGTGCTCTGCAACGGGAGAGGCCACAACAGTGAGAGGCCCACTTACCACAAAAAAAAAAAAGACACTATCCTTTCCCCATAGTATATTCTTGGCTCCTTTGTTGACCATATACACATGGGTTTATATCTGGGCTCTCAATTCTGTTCCATTGATCTATGTCTGTTTTCATGCCAACAGTACACCGTTCTGATTACTATTTCTTTGTAATATAGCTTGAAATCAGGAGGTGTGATATCTCCAGTTTTTTCCTTCTTGAGTCTACTTTAAATATTTGAGGTCTTTTGTGGTTCCATATAAATTTTAGGATTGTTTTATCTGTTTCTGTGAAAAATGCCACTGGAATTTTGATAGCAATCATACTGACTCTGCAGGTCACTTTGGGTAGTACGGATGTTGTAACAATATTCTTTCAATCCACGAGCACAGAATATCTTTCCACTTATTTGCATCATCTTTGATAGTTTTTGGTGTACAGATGTTTCACCTCCTTATCGCTTCTTGGCCTTTTTGCTAAGATCAAGTGTACATGTTTCACCTCCTTAGTAAATTTATTCCTAAGTGTTTTATTCTTTATGATGCTACTATAAATGGGATTGTTTTCTTAATTTCTCTTTCCAATAGTTTTTGGTTAGTGTGTAGAAACACAACTGATTTTTGCATATTCATTGTGCATCCTGCAAATTTACTGAATTCATTTATTAGTTCTAACAGTTTTTTGGTGGAGCCTTTAGGGTTTTCTATATATAATTTCATTGTCATCAGCAAACAGAGGCAATTTTACTTCTTCCTTTCCAATTGGATGCTTTTTATATCTTTCTTGCCTAATTGCTCTGGCTTGGTCTTCTAGTATTCTGTTGAATAAAACTGGTAAGAGTGGACATCCTTGTGTTGCCCCTGAAGGTTTCAGCTTTAGATGTAGGCTTGTCATATATGGCCTATTACTATGTTGCAGTATGGTCCTTCTACACCCGGTTTGTTGAGAGTTTTTATCATGACAATATGTTGAATTTTTGTCAAAACTTTCTGCATCTATTGAGTTGATCACAGGTTTTACTCTTAATTTTGTTAATATGGTGTATTATATAGTAAGTCCCCTACATACAAACCTTCAAGTTGCAAACTTTCAAAGATGCAAACATGTGCTCCATCAACATCTGGCATGAGTGAAATTGCAGCTTGCCCTCTGTCTCCTATTGCTGATGGTCCTTCAGCTCTACCATCTCCCACCTCCTCTCCCTCCTCCAGTCAGAAACTCTTCTTGCCTATTCACTCCATGCCAACCCCTGTATGCCAGCTGTTGTACTGTGCTACTGTACTGTCATCTTACTGTATCGTAAGATTAAAAATGTTTTATTTTTTGTGTTTTTTTTTTACGTATTGTGTGAAAAGTATCATAAACCTAGTATGGTACAGTACTATATATATAGCCAGTTGTGTTAGTTGGGTACCTAGGCTAACTTTGTTGGATTTAGGAACAAATTGGACTTACAAATGTGCTCTCGGAACGGAACTTGTTCTTATGTAGGGGACTTACTGTACTGACTAATTTGCAGATGTTGAACCATCCTTGTATCCCGTGAATAAATAGCACTTGCTCGTGGTGTTTGATCCTTTCAGTATACAGTCATCCCTCTCTGTGGAGAACTGGTTCTAGGACTGGCTGTGGATACCAGAATCTGCAGATGCTCAAGTCCCACAGTTGGCTCTCCAGATCCACAGTTCTACACCTGCAGATTCAACCAACCACGGATCCTGTACGTATTTATTGAAAATAAAATTCACGTATAATGCACCCATACAGTTCAAACCCATGTTGTTTGAGGGTCAACTATACTGTTGAATTCAGTTTGCTAATATTTTGTTGAGGATTTTTGTATCTCTGTTTATCAGGGACATTGGCCTACAATTTTCCTGGAGTGTTCTTGTCTGGCTTTGGCATTAGGGTAATGCTGGTCTCGTAAAATGAGTTTAGCAGTGTCTCTTCCTCTCCAATTCTTTAGAAGAGTTTGAGAAGGGTTGGTATTAATACTTGGTATGATTTCAAACAATCAGCTTAGTTCACTGATCACATCCTATTATATCCTATTTTTTATTTAATTTACTTCTGCTCTGATCCTTGTTATTTCCTTCCTTCTATTAACTTTGGGCTTCATTTGTTCTTTTTCTAGTTACTTGAGGTATAAAGTTAGGTTGTTTACTTGAGATCTTTCTTGTCTCTTAGCGTAGGTGTTTATTACTATGAACTTCCCTCTTGGAATTGCTTTTGCTGTATCCCATAAGTTTTGTCATGTTGTGTTTCCATTTTCATTTGTCTCAAGATATTTTCTGATTTCTTCTTTGATCCACTGTTTGATCAGAGTAGCATGTTGTTCAATGTCCACGTATTTGTTAATTTTCCAGTTTCCTTCTTTTAATTGATTTCTAGTTTTACACTATTGTGGTCAGAAAAGATGCTTGATATGATTTCAATCCTTTTAAATTTATTAAGACTTGTTTTGTGGCCTAACATATGATCTGTCCTGGAGAATGTTACATGTGTGCTTGGAGAAGGATGTTTATTCTGTTGCTTTTGGATGCAATGTTCTGTATACACATGGTCTGATGTATCATTTAAGGCCAATGTTTCCTTACTGATTATCTGTCTGGATGATCTATCCATTAATAAAAGTGGGGTATTAAAGTCGCCTACTATTATTGTATGACTGTCTGTTTTTCTCTTTAGGTCTGTGAATATTCGCTTTATATTTTTAGGTGTGCCTATGTTGGGTTCACAAATATTTATAAATGTTATATCCTCTTGTTGGAGAGACCTCTTTATCATCTTATAATAACCTTTGTCTCTTATTACAGTCTTTGTCTTAAAGTCTATTTTGTCTAAGTAAAGCCAACCCACCTTTCTTTTGGCTTCCATATGCATGGAGTACATTTTTCCATCCCTTCACTTTCAGTCTGTTTGTCTCTGTATCTGAAGTGAGTCTCTTGTAAGCAGCACATACATGGGTCTTGCTTTTTTATCCATTCAACCACTCTATGTGTTTTGATTGGAGAATTTTAGCCCATTTATATTTAAAGTAATTATTGTTAGGTATGGACTTATTGCCATTTTGTTCACTGTTCCCTAGCTTTCTGTAATTCCTTTTGGTTCCTTTCTTCTCTTGCTCTCTTCAAGTGTGATTTCATGATTTTCTGTAGGGTTACGTTTAGATTACTTTGTCTTTACTTTCCGTGTATCTACTATAGGTTTCTGCTTTGTGGTTACTATGAGGCTTACATAAAACAACTTATAACCGTCTATTTTAAGTTGATAACTTAAGTTTGAATGAATTCCAAAACTACATTTTTTATTCTCTCCCCATTTTATGTTTATGATGTTGCAATTTACATCTTTTTATCTTGTATATTCATTAACAAGTTATTGTAGTTAGATTTTTACTATCTTTGTCTTTTAACCTTCATACTAGATTTATAAGTGATTAACCCACCAACTTCACAACAACAGATTATCTTTAATTTTACTATATATTTACCTTTACCAGTGTAAATTTTAATTTCATGTTTTCCTGTTACTAATTAGTGCCCTTGTATTTCAGCTTGAAGAAAGTCCTTTAACATTTCTTGTAAGGCTGCTCTGGTGGTGATTAACTCCTTCTGCTTTTGCATGTCCTGAAAACTCTGTACCTCTCTCTACTCCAATTCTAAAGGACAACTTTGCTGGGTAGTGTATTCATGGTTGAATGTATTGTGCTACTCCCTTCTGGTCTGCAAAGTTTCTGCTGATAGATCTTATGAGGGTTTCCTTTTATGTAACATGTTTTTCTCTTGCTGCTTTTAAGATTGTCTCCTTGTTTTAACTTTTGACAATTTAATTATAATGTGTTTTGATGTGGGTGCCTTTGGATTCATCTTATTTAGAACTCTCTGGGCTTCCTGGATTGAGATGTCTATTTCTTTCCCCAGGGAACTTTTCAGCATTATTTCTTTAAATGAGCTTTATGCCCCTTTCTCTCTTTCCCCTCTGAGACCTCTGTAATCCACATGATGGCATTCCTCAAGCTATCTTCACTCTTTTTCATTCTTTTTACTCTTCTGTTTGGATAAATTCCACTGCGCTGTCTTCAAGCTCACTGATCCTTTCTCACACTTGTGCTAGTCTGCTGTTGAAACCCTCTATTGAATTTTTCACCTCAAGTATTATATTCTTCTGCTCTATGATTTCTCTTTGGTACTTTTTTAATATTTTCTATCTCTTCGTTGAAATTCTCACTTTGTTCACGCTTTCCTGACCTTGCTGAGCATCTTTATGACTGTTATTTTAAACTCTCTATTGAGTAAATCACTTATCTGGATTTCATTAAGATCAGTTTCTGGAGATTTATCTCGTTCTCTTCTTTAGAACATAGTCCCTTTTTTCTTCATTTTCCTTTACTCTCTGTGTTGGTTTCTGTGCATTAGAAAAAACAGCCACCTCTCCTGTCTCAACAGAGTGGTCTTGTATAGGAGATGAGTCTCATCGATCAGCCTGGCCCAAGCTCTTGGCTGCCTCTCAAACCTCTGTGATTGTCCAAGCTGCTGCCTTTATTCTTAGTGGTTCCCAGTAGTTGGGGATGTACCAAGACCCATCAGAGAAAGGGAGGGTGGGAAGGAGGGAGGGAGGGAGAAAATAGAAAGGTGCTCAGAAAGACTCTACTTTGGATGTATCTTTTTTTATACCAAATTATAATAATTTTGAGCCCTTTAGAATTGGAAACCAATTCAACAGGAAAGGCTAAAATATCAGAAAACTGATTTTTCTTAATAGGAAACATTACCTCTTCCTTGGATAAATGCCTGAATTTTGTTTGATATCTACTCAGTTCTACATTCAAACAATGAACAGTCATTTTCAATCCATCATTTTCATCCACCAGTTCTTGAGCTTGTTTTCTTAGATAATGTAATTCAGGTGCAGCGACTACTGAAAAATATAAATTCAATATTATACCATAAGAACTTATTTCAAATTTATCAAGATTTTATATAAATTGCTGATTGTCCTTTTTTCCCTTTTAGGCTCACAAAGGCAGTGAATGACAGATATATAGATACAAATGAATAAAAGTTACCAAGTTTTTTTAACATTGAATAGTCAACAGTGTTTTGGAAGTTTGTGAAAGTTTTTGCATGTATAATTAAGGTAAAATAAAAATTTTAGGTTGAAAAAAAGTTGTTTCAGATGATATACAAATATGTTCCTTGAAAATTATATAGAATAAATGGAGAATTTATTACAACTAATAACTTTCCCACATAATAGTAATGTCTTATTAGAAAACATCATAGAAAATAGATCCCACAAAATAATAGCACAAATAATATAAAGTATCTAGAAATGTGCCTAAGACAAGAAATATGCAGGGTCTGTATAAAGAAAACTACAACATCTTTCTTAAGGCCATAATATTAGACTTATATAAATAGATAAATATACAGAGAAAACACTGAAAACAGTGAATATTTATATGACCTTAGCATTATTATTATTTTGTTTTTAGCCGTGCCACGCAGCACATGGGATCCTAGTTCCCAGACCAGAGATTGAACCTGCCCCCACTGCACAGTGGAAGTGTGGAGTCTTAACCAGCAGGGAAGTCCCTGATCTTAGCATTAAAAAGAACTTGACACCAATGGCATAGGTCATAACAGAAAAATATCCTATACATTTAGCTGAATTATCAACAAACTGAGAAAATATTCCATACATGACAAAGGCCTAAAACCCTTAATATGTAAAGAGCTCCTACAAATCAACAGAAAAGATCAAAGCATCTCAATTTAAAATGGGAAAACTTATAAAAGAGAAAGAAAATGACCCACAAAGATAATGAAAAAAATATTCAACTTTATCAATAATAAATGAATTAAACTAAAATGGGATTCTTCTTCTTTTTTTTTAACCTATCAAATTCGCAAGGAAAATACAATCCTCATCATTGCTAAGTATGTGGTGAAAGAGCCACTTTTATATGCTGCTCATGGGGATAAAAACTGATATGAAACATATGTACAATACTATGCTAAGAATCAAAAGAAGTATTGGAATTTTAGTATAATAATAATGACACAGCAGATGAAATCAAATTTCAACAAGTATAAGGATATTAATGAAAGACCTTAAAATCGTAATAAAACATCAAGAACATTAATATCAACAAATACTGTAACATAAAATATTAACTTTCAAAATAAATAAGAAAATTTGAATTCTTGTTTGTTCCTTTAATAAAAGAACTGTGTAGTTGTCCCCACCTTCCTGAGAGGATGCTTTCTCAACTTCTTTCAGCTTTCCATTTTCTTTTTCCATCCTTTTAAGTTTTAACTGTAGTTCTGTCATTGTTTTTTTTATTATGTTAAGTTCAAGAGTAAGGGTTTGATTTGCATTGTTTAGATGCAAATTTTCTTCTTTTAATTCCTCCAACTTTTCTTTGGTTATTTCTATATGTCTTCGATGTGTTCTACTATTTACATCTAAAAAGGCACAGGAAAAAAGTTTTAAAATATTAATTGATATTTACAATTCTACATCAAAATTACAGGAGACAATTCCAAAAACCACATGAGCAACTCTTCATGTCAGTGCCTGCAAAGAGAATGGCCTATACAGCAAAGAGTGCATGGTCTGTTGAGACTACAGTGAGCAACAGGAAGAGGGATGACAGAGGGGGAGGCAGGAGCCAGTGGAGGCTCTATACTATTGGACATAGTATTGCACATATCATAAGATGCAGAGTGGAGGTTGTATCCTGCAGGCCACCAGGAGCCAGAAAGCCTTTCAGGCAGAAGTATGGAAAGAAGAGGCTCTACTCTCAGATGAATCCCTGAGGCCAGCAGTGAAGAAACTGAACAGGAAGGAGGCCTAGCCCAGAGGCAGGGAGACCAGTCAGGAGACTCCTCGAGTAGGGATGGAGAGGAAAGGACATGAGAGAAGCATTCAGGGGCGAAAGCTCAGCAGGGCTCAAGAACTCAACTGGGTGTGGACAGTGAGGGGGGGCAAGTCAAGGATGAGCACCAAGACCTGTGGCTTAGAAGACATCTAGCCAGACAAGGGACACAAGCATGGCAGGGGAAGGGAAGCCCAGGCTAGGACACGGGCCTGGAGCTCTGAAGGCAGCCTCAGCTGGAGAGACTGAGGCGCCACCAGCATGTGGGCAGACCTGAAGGCACCGGGGTGAGAAGAAAGCCAGAGACCACGAAGGATGTTAGGAAGGAGCAGCAAGAAAGATGGAGGAAAGCAGAGAGCGATGTTCCACAGGGAGATCAAAGGAGGTGAGGGCTACGATGGGCTCCCAGCCCGGGCAGAGCTTCTGTGTGCAGATGTGCAGACAAGGGCGGGAATGCTGGTGGCTCCAGACAGCCTCCCCTGACCTCTGACACACACATCCCCAATCCCTAGAACATGAAAGGAAAGTCTAAGAAATGAGTAACTCCACAGCTACACTGAAAACAAGAGGCGAGCCACCAGGAATCCCGGAAAGAAAACATTTGAGATTAGATTGAAGATGGAAGCTGCAGCCTTTTAAAATATGCCAGGAGAGGTCAGCTACTGGAGGTGGGAGTGCTTCCACGGATGTGCTTTGCCCTGGCAGGTAGTGGGGACACAAAGTGACCTAGAAAGGGCTGATGAGGTATCCAGTTAATGTGCCAGACGGGATCAGCAATGGTTCAAGCCCCCTGGGCCGGGTAGTACAGACAGGCTCTGAGGACAGAGGCAGGCAGGCACTGGGGCTGGGGAAACTCAGGAGGAAGAGGGACCCCCGAACCCCCTGGCTGACCACACACCCTGTCTGTCCCTGTCAGTCACTGGAGACAGGCTGTAGGCCTGACAGCCCACTGGTTTCCCCCTCTGAGCAGCCTGCAGTAATCAGATACAGCATCCCCAGCAGACTAACAGGGACTCCCAAGGACCAAGGCGAACACATCACCAAGAACCATGTGAGCTAAGAGAAGCACCAAAATCAAATAACAGAGGACAGAGTTGGCTGCTCAGCAACTATAAGATTTTTGAATGGGTGTAGTTAAGATTCCAGAGAGATGTTTGTCAATACTTAAGAGAAATCATGGAAACAAACAGTTTCATTCACAATACAAATTCAAAGGATGGGCTGAGCAGCAGAATACATACAATGAAGAATGAACCTGTGGGCTAGACATTAGAGCTCCAGCAATATCCCAGAATACAGCACCAAAAACACCGAGATAGAAAGGGTGAAAACAAAGCCAATCAGACACGGAGGATAGACAAAAGCCTTGATTCCTGATAGGATGTTCAGACTAGCAATGTGAGGCTTAACAGGAAAAAAATTACAAAATCCACCTTGAAAGCTAATGAGGCTCCTCAAACTGTAGAGGGGATAGCACCCCAGAAAGTATCTCTAGACCCCTCAGCTCTGTCTCTAGCCCTTGAGCAGAGCCCCCGTTTGCATACACCCCCCACCCAGTGTCTGCCTATAACCCACAGGTCCACTCCCCTCCCCAGGATCTGAGCACATGCCATGGGGACATATATCCATCATCCAACATGTGAACGTTTGGACTCTCTCTTTTAAGGCAAAGGTGGAAATTCAACAAACTGCCTCCTCTTCCCAATTCTGATAATGGGACAGAAGCAACAGCCTTTACAGGAAAAAAAAAAAAAAAAAGTGATCTTTGTTTTATGTGAGATTATTCTGGGTATTCGCTAGAACAATCAGCTTTTCAATCACAATGAAACTCAAAAGGCAAATACCTGGAGAGGGTGGAGGTTTTCCACACAATGATGGTTTTTCATCCTAAGGAAGAAAAAAACATGAGAGTAATGAATTAAGAGTCTCAGCATCTTCTAAAGGTGGACTGGCACAAGCAGGTAGGTCACCGTATATCAAATATTTAAGTACTTTTTTCCCCCTTCATTTTGGCTCTTATAGTTGCTAGTTTGTTTTAGCTTTAGAAACTTTAATATTCACTGTTTCTTTTAAATGAACCAAAACCTTAAGGGATTTCCCCTCTTGGCAGGTTCTCTGAGCAGCAAGGGAAGTCCTGCTTTCTTCCTGCCTTTTTGTCCATGAGTTCAGCGTCTTTTTTGTTTTTTTTAATTGAAGTCTAGGTGATTTACAATATTGTGTTAGCTTCAGGGGTATAGCAAAGTGGTTCAGTTATACATATATATATTTTTCCAATTCTCTTCCATTATAGGTTATTATAAGATACTGAATACAATTCCCTGTGCTATACAGTACATCCTAGTTGCTTATCTATTTTATACATAGTAGTGTGTATCTATTAATCTCATACTCCTAAGTTATCCCTCCCCCCATCCCCTTTGGTAACTATATGTTTGTTTTCTACATCTGTGAGTCTATTTCTGTTTTGTAAATAAGTTCATTTGTATTATTTTTTAGATTCCACATAAGTGATACCGTATAATATTTGTCTTTGTCTGGCTTACTTCACTCAGTATGATAATCTCTAGGTCCACCCATGTTGCTGCAAATGGCGTTTCATTCTTTTTTATGGCTGAGTAATATTCCTCTGTGTGTGTGTGTGTGTGTGTGTGTGTGTGTCTGTGTGTGTCTGTGTGTGTCTGTGTGTGTGTGTGTACCACATCTTCTTTATCCATTCATCTGTTGATGGGCACTTAGGTTGCTTCCATGTCTTGGCTATGGTAAACAGTGCTGCATATGAACACAGTATCTTTGGAAATTAGAGTTTTCTCCGGATATATGCCCAGAAGTGGGATTGCTGGATCATATGGCAACTCTATTTTAGTTTTTTGAGGAACCTCTATACTGTTGTCCATAGTGGCTGTACCGATTTACATTCCCACCAACAGTGTAGGAGGGTTGTCTTTTCTCCACAATTTATTATTGGTAGTCAGTCACTGTGCTTACATGCAGGTCCCATGTAAACAAGGCCATCAGTTCACATTCTAAAGCATGTGATATGACTGTAGGTGCTGAGCAGAGATGCACAAAGCAAATTCCAACTGGCCTTTTCTCCTTGGGATATGCAAAAAGACCCCATTAGCTTCAGAGAAGCATGTTTTCAAAGCACTGAGAAGGGCTTCCCTGGTGGCGCAGTGGTTGAGAGTCTGCCTGCCGATGCAGGGGACACGGGTTTGTGCCCCGGTCCAGGAGGATCCCACATGCCGTGGAGTGGCTGGGCCCGTGAGCCACGGCCGCTGAGCCTGCGTGTCCGGAGCCTGTGCTCTGCAACGGGTGAGGCCACAGCAGTGAGAGGCCCGCGTACCGCAAAAAAAAAAAAAAAAGTACTGAGAAAAGAATACAACATCCTCCTTTTCAACCCAAAACTTAGAGGAAAGGGAAGTCTTTGAACTTTTGTTCATTTTTCTACTACACATCAGTCTGATACTAAGTTTCTAATTTCTGCTTAAAAAGTAGATAAGGTTATAAATTAACTCTACTGAGAAGTCTTTAATTTTTAAACTCCTTTGACATCGCAGAATTAAAAACTTAAGTAAACTATTTCCATGTCTGTAAACTGGTTATTGTCTATTCATTCTACAAATGAAAATGTAAATGTAAGTGATTTCTAATCCCTCAGTACATTACATTCACTTTAAACTATGCAAAACATGAGTTTCTTCATGTTTTAAAACTTTAAAAAAAAACTCATTCAATGGAAAAGAACTCTTAATGGAAGTTTTCTTCCCCACAAATCACAAAAGTTGTTTTGAAATTATGGTGGAAATTCTATTAATTGAGAAAATCAGTTTTTAAAAAACAAACCTTGGGCTTCCCTGGTGACGCAGTGGGTAAGAATCTGCCTGCCAATGCAGGGGACATAGGTTCGAGCCCTGGTCTGGGAAAATCCTACATGCCTCGGAGCAACTAAGCCCATGCGCCACAACTACTGAAGCCCGCATGCCTAGAGCCCATGCTCGGCAACAAGAGAAGCCACGGCAATGAGATGCCCGCGCACCACAACAAAGAGTAGCCCCAACTCGCCACAACTAGAGAAAGCCCACATGCAGCAACGAAGAGCCAACGCAGCCAAAAATAAATAAATTAAATAAATAAAATTTTAAAAAACACACACACAAAAAAACAATCCTTACCTTTAAATTCAGAATAGAATGTTTACCATCTGATTAAAAAAAAAGAAAGAAAACTTTGTAAAGCAGAGAAAGACATCTGACAACTCAGAAGAGTACAATCTTAGGAACTCACCTTCTGCAGATGAGCTAAACCAGGTCTGGGCGGGCAGCCTTCCCAAGGCCACATGAGAAGCGGGTCCAGAGCCAGGCAGGAGCCCAACTCGGAACTGCTCATCTCTCCCCGCTGCTTGTTCCTGAGCACCTTCAGTGGCTCACATGATTGGAGAACCAAGGCCAAACTCCTCAGCGCGACTCTGAGCCTTCCCCACCTTCCCAGCGCTCCCCCTTCCCAGAGCTCTCTACCCGTCCCACCGCCATTCCCCAGATGGGCTGAGGCTGATGCCTCCCCGTCTCCCGGCCTACAGTATCGGTCCACTCGGTCAGATGCTGGTACCTCGACCAAAGGATGTCAGGGTCCAAGCTTCTTGGCCGGGTACTGCTAGGGCGCAGAGTGGCACCTCAGGCTGACAGAGTTTGAGGCTTTAGCCTTTAGACAATAATTATCAGCTAGCATTATGGAGGATGCCGTGCTTCACACATACGACTAAATTTAATCCTTATAAATTTAATCCTTATAAGAACCTGATGAGAGGTGCACTCAAACTGAGTAGAAGTGGGGTTAAGGAACTCACCAAGCCTCTCGCCACCTGGATATGACAGAACCAAAGCACTAAAAACCAGTGTTTCTGATGTGCTGCCTAAGGATCACTCACATCAGACTCTCCGAAGAGCTTGTTAAAAAGACAGACCCTCTGAGGCTCCAGCCCAGATTCACTGACTCAGAATTTGGGGTTGGTGTGGGGCCTTTTCACAAGTGTCCAGGGGCTTCTAATGCCCATCACAAACCAAAAACCAGGAGGAGCTGAACTCCCTCCCAACCACCACCTGCGTTCCCAGTTCAACACCACCTGTGTTACCAAGTGCGCCAGTTACCACACTGCCTCTCAGCTCCAAACCCACCTTTATTGCTGGCTTGTGTTACTGCAGCAGCGCTACCTTGCCAGGAGGAGGAGGGGGCTTGGGTTCCTCATTCCAGAAGGCTATCTCCATCCCTCGCTCCTTCCCTGCATTCCTCTTTCTCTCCCCTCTCCTCTTCTCTTCCCTCTTTCTGGGTGGCCAGCAGAACTTCCCCACGGGTGGCTTCTCCTGGAATTCCCCTGGAGAGGGCGGCTCTCCAGCGAGCTCTGTTAGCAACACACCTCGGCTAACTTCTCCACCCGCCAGTGGGCCACAGCTGCACCCTCTCCAATGCCTGCATTGGAGATTCTCCAAATGTTTCTTCTCTTGGGGGCTCTCTGTTAACAAAAGAGGGAGCAGCTGTTCTCTCTGCTATTCCTGCATTCTTTAGATTTCTCTCTACCCTTAGTAGGCAATCCTCTTATAGTCAATAATTCTTTACATTAAACTTTCCTTTTTCAAGTCACCATATACATTCTGCCTACTTATTGGATTCTGACTGATATATAACACATCAGGCCACAGACAACACAGACATTAGAAAGTGGATGGACATGTATGAACACAGAGATATTCAGGATGTGTTACAATTTTTTTTAAAAAGGCAGGTAATAAAATAACATGCATTTTATTCACATACGCATTCAAAGTTGTTAAAATTGTACTCTATGGGAGTAGAATTATGTGTGTTTAACCTCCTATATTTCTGCATTTCAGTTTGTTTTTTTTTTTACACTGAGAAAGTATTAATTTTGTAATTTAAAGAGAGATATGGGCTTCCCTGGTGGCGCAGTGGTTGAGAGTCTGCCTGCCGATGCAGGGGACACGGGTTCGTGCCCCGGTCCAGGAAGATCCCACATGCCACGGAGCGGCTGGGCCCGTGAGCCATGGCCGTCGAGCCTGCGCGTCCGGAGCCTGTGCTCCGCAACGGGAGAGGCCACGACAGTGAGAGGCCCGCGTACCACAAAAAA